TTGATTGGAATTGTCTGGAATAAATATAGAAATTTTGGCAGAATATTCATCTTAATCAAAGCAATCCTGCCCAATAAGGAAAGTTGTAATTTACTCCAGGAATCTAAGTCTTTCTTGGATTGTTGGAGAAGTTTGTCATAGTTGTTTTCTTTTAATGATTTGCTTTGTGGAGTTAGCCAAATTCCTAAGTATTTAATTTTTTTGTCACCTGTATTCCCATTGTTGTCTCTAGCTCTTTATTCTGGTCAGACGGGCAACTTTCTGATAGTGATTTTGTGGCTGAATAATTTAAAACTGACAGCAAGAGCCACATTTATTAAATTTGTGTTTTTCTAATTATTAAAATATTTACTATCTCTAACCTTTTGTACCTCAGGGACCACCAAACTCATAATTTTAAATACCAGGGACCACTAACTGGTTCTGTGGGTATGACCTAATTTGTGGGTGTGGCTTGGTGGTCATGTGACTGGTTGGGCATGGCTTCTATGTAAATATTATAAATATTTATATAAATATTGATTTTTTTTATAAAAAAGAGAGCAACTTTTACCCAAAATCAGGCAAAGCAGGCAGGAAGATTGAGTTGCTCACAGAATCACAGATTCATTCAGAAATCTATCTGCCATCGGCTAGCTCAGTCTGTCACATAAAATTTGCTTGCCGTGAGTCAGTACTGAATAATAGAACTTTCAGTCCTAAGGGAGGTTCAGCTGTGCTTAAAAGCAGAGCCAAAGATCTAAAGACTAGCTAGAAAGCAAGAAATCCAACCATTTCCTGCTTCCTAGCTAATCTAAATCTCCCGGCACAGCAGAACAGATGATGGTTGGAAAAAAGGAAAAATAGCAATTTAGCAGGCAAGTTTGCCAAGGAGAGAGTGGGCGGGGAGGGTTCCCGCAGGCCATGTGGGTGGCGCAGCCTTGTGTTTCTGTGCAGCCTGGATTAATTGCTTGGGGAGGGTGCTCTGGGGGTGAGATTTCTCTGCGGCCCACCAAAATTTTCTCAGGACTCACCAGTGGGCCGTGGCCCACTAGTTGGTGACTACTGATTTATAAGACATCAAAGGATTCAACGGTGGAAGTAAGAATAGGTTTGGGAGAACTTTTCCAACATTCTAAGAAGAAACAGCTCCTTCCACAGTCTGAACTGGATTGATCAGATTAGAAGAGTATTAATAATATCTAGTAACATTCACCTTCACAATTAATTCTCCACTTATGAAGGTGGAAGAAGGGATAATTCTATGGAATTCAAATTTGATGAAAGAGAAACATTCCTAACCTTAAACATATTCTTCCCGTTTTATTGGATAATGAAAAAAATATCAGATTTTGGGGGGGAGTATTTGATAAATTGAATGTTATGACTTAAACAGAGAATTAAATTTTCATAAAAAGTTGGATTATTATATAGATTTGATGAAGAGTATATGGTGTTAAACAGTTAAAAAAATTATTACTGTATCTATTGGAAGTAGTGAAAGAATTTGAATAATTTATCACTTACAAATGTTATAATAAAATGTGGACAGAACTCTGCTCAAAAAGCATTGAAAATTTAAGACTCTCTTTAAAGAAACTACAAAGAAATTTCCTTGCAGGAGGGGTTTTGTTTGGGGGCAGCAAGGGCCAATTGGGTCTGATAGCATTAGGAAATTACCGTAGGACTCAGTTTAAACTTGTTCATGTACAAAAGACAGGGAACAAAAGGTGTAACTTCCATTTTATTTCTAAAATGTACTGTATTTTCTCCACTCCATCTGGTATCTTCTCTTGTAACAGGAGTCACCTATTTCTCATTTTAGATTAGTATCTCTTTGGTGATTTTTTAAATATTTTATGGTGTCATTGGGGACTTTTTTAGTACTGCAAATATTGAGTGGTTTTGATTAAAATTGCAAAGGAATCTTTGCTTCAAACAATGCTTCGTTGTAGACTTCAAACATAGTTGGATCTAAGATCTCTTGTAGGTATTTATAAAATTCTGCTGGTAGGCCATGGTCCTGGTGTCTTGTTTTCTGCCTCTTAATTGTTTCTGTTAATTCCATCATTGTTATTCTTTCATTCAACCTTATCTCCATTTCTTCCAGCACTTTGGATAGGGTGGCTTCTTCCATATATTGTTTAATTTTATCTTCAAGTATGTTTTCTTTGCTGTATAGTTTTTCATAAAATTTATTTTATTTATTTTTTCTTGTCTTCATTTTTGTGTCAAATTGTACCCATCTCATCTTGTAACTTTTGTATCAGTTTCTTTTCTTTTTCTTTTTTAAGTCTGAATGCCAACTATCTCCCCAACTTATTTGTGTTTTCAAAGAAGTTTTGTTTGGCTACTTTAATTTTTTGTGCCAATTCCTCTTTCTCTAGAATATTTAATTCATGTTTTACTAGTTCCATTTGATTTTTGTCATTTATTTTTTGTGGGTCTCTCTGTAATTCCAGTTCAAGTCTTTTATATTCTTCTAATTCCTGTCATCTTTTCTCCTTCTCCCTATTTTTCCTTCCTATATAGGAGATCGCTAATCCCCTGAAATATGCTTTGGCAGTATCCCATACATTTTGTAGGGACATTTCTCCATTTTTATTCTTTTTAAAGAAAAACTCCATTTCCTTCTCTGTTTTCTGTATAAACTCTTTATCTTCCAATGCTGACTGCTTTAATGTCCATCTTGGTTTTCTTGTTTGTCCTTTCCATTTTATTAGATTATAGTCTGCCCAAACTCTACTTCTTGTATATTCTCTTGCAGTTCCAGTGACATCCGTATCATATCAATTCTCGACCAAGATTTATGCATATTTGAGTAGAAAGTATATTGTTTTTCTCTGGTTTTAATTCCCTTCAATTAATTCCTAATTCCTCCGTCATTTAAAAAAAGGTCTTTGGTAAAGTTCTCCTACCTTTTTCATTTGTTTTGTAGTCTAATTTTACATCAACAATTGTGTTAAAGTCTCCTACAATACAAATGTTATCATATTCTGTTTCTGTAATTTTTTTAAATGTAATTGTTCATAAAAAAAACTTCTTAGTTAGAGAATTTGGTGCATATATTACTGTTAATAGTGTCCATTTATAATTCATCATTACTTCCACTATCAAAATTCTCCCCTCTTCATCTTTATAAATTTGTTTTGATTCTAAGGATTCTTTGATGAAGAGGGCCATCCCTCTTTTTTTCTGCTGTGCTAATGAGGCATATAGTTTCCCTATTTTAGGGTTTTCCAATTGTTTATAGTGGTCCTTTTTAATATGTACTTCCTGGAGACAAATCAAATCTAAATTCAAATTTTTTAATCTATTGAAAAAAGTTTTCCTTTTTTTCTATATTGCTATGTTGCTACACAAATCCTGTTCAGTTCCACATTCTTCTTCTTTTTAAAAAAAGCAGATTAGGCTTACAGGTTCATTTTTGAGCATACATGACCAAAAAATTAGTATAGGAAAACAATAGTAAGATTTATATAATCTAAAAAGAAAGCAGAAACTGTATAAAATGAGAAAACTTTGTGCTGGACATGTGAGAAAAATCCCAAACTACCGGTAGGCCGAAGAATAATTTTAATTCTTTCCAGTGAGGTTTCATGAACGTAGCCTGCAAGCAACATCATACATGACAGATTGGGTCCATGTGGTGCATGATTAAAATACTGGAGGAAGACTTGTGTGACACTAGAGCTCAAGTGTGCACTCCCTGATTGGCCAATCAGTCTCTTAATTCCTTGTACTATAAATTCCTAGGATTCTTAGTGCTGTTACAGTGCTAAATTTGCATATATACTGCACTGAGTTCCTAGAATACAAGTTGCTAATGAATGTAATAAATATGTATATATAACCATTACATGTCCTCTAAGAATATACAACAACACAGAGATTGTGCAGATTTGCAGGGCCATGTTACTGAACAGGTTGATACTGAAAGGTTCAACTAGTGTAAACATGCTATGTTATAGTAGGTTATGTTGTTTATGTTACGTTTAACATGGTGTTCTGGTGTTCTATTGGATTACCAGCAGCATTTCTGCCCTTTGAATGCCAGGGTCTTGATTTAGATTGGCTTCTTCTTCAGCATGAAGATGCAAAGGTACAGAGATGCTCTAAAAGTTACAGCATGATATTTTGAAAAAATGGCCATAACATCAAGGAAATTACACTTTAAATTACAAATACAATGTTATGGTAACTTTAATTAATACAAGGATACTTCTCACATAGTAGCAACTCAGGTTATTTGAACTTGAAATCTTAAGTGAGGAAAAAGGAAGCCTAGTAAGACAATTAAAGGAAACATAAAAGTATCTCACTGAGGATTTGTTTAAACAAAAAAAAAGGAAAGTTGTAAGATGGCCAAATATAAAATTACAGGGCACCAGAGACTATATTAAAATAGATACTTAATTTATTTTTAAAAAGTGGAAATGGCTATGAATTCTAATTGGGCAGTAAAAATAGTTTGGTAAAAAAGGTATCTAAAAACTGCAGGAAATGTTTGATGAATATGTTGGCTGAGAGAAGAATGGATACACCTAATACTATCAGTTATTAATAGACATGCACTTCTCTAATAGTAACAGTACAGGTAGTCCTTGACATACAACCACAACTAAGCCCAAAATTTATGTTAGTGAGAAATTTGTTGTGAGATTTGCCCCATATTATCACTTTTCTTGCCACATTTGTAAACTGAATCACTGCAGTTGTTAAATCAGTAATACAGGTAAGTGAATCTGGTTTTCCCATTGATTTGACTTCTCAAAAGATTGCAAAAGGTGATCATATGACCTCAGGATGCTGCAGCTGTCATGAATGTGAGTCAGTTGTCAAATATCCAAATATAAATCATGTGACCATGGGGATGCTGCAATGATCATAAGTGTGAAAAATGGCCATAAGTCTACTTTTTTCAATGCCATTGTAACTTTGAATGGTCACTAATGAACTATTTATTGTAAGTCGAGGACTACCTGTATAGATTTCTCATATTTTATTAATGATACATTTTATAGAGTATTCTTGCCTTCCTTGTGGATTTTTAGGCAGCTTTGTGTGCAGCATATAATATCCAGGAAATTTATTTTCTTTGCTGTTTAGTTTACTGTTTAGTCACAGTTCATATCTGACCTCAAAATAATACCCTGCAAATTACTGATTTCTTGATTTAAGAAAGGTATTTTACTTGTGTTTCAAATCATACACAAAAACTGGTTACTAACAGTGCTTAAAAATATTAACGCAACTCCACTTGTTCACAAATGTACAAAAAATAATAGCAGATTTACATTCAACTACTAAAGCTTAATGTCCACACTAGATAATAGTTGCATTGACATTCACATACATAAGCACAGAACAAATATTTTAGGATACTTATAAGAGCATGTTGCATACTTACAGTACTTTAATTTTACATAATAAGCAATAATTTGAAGGGTCAGAAATTCATAAAATCTTAGAGAAACTAAACCCAAGAAGATCATGTAGGCAAATACATCAAGACACGCAACAGAGCTAGCAGATTAGTAAAGTTGCTTGGTGAGAAAGAATTTATTTCCACTTCCCCTGATTATTATTATTACAAAAGGAGTGTACTCAAAGTGCAGAATAAGGAAAGCAAAATGAGAGCAAGAAAATCTTTTATTTCTTTAATGCATGCAAGAGGCAGTCCCCATTCCCAATCTAGTGACCTGATATAATAAAGCGGTGATTGGCAGATATAATACAGTGTTTCAGGCATTTTTTCTAAAGCACTTTATTAGCAGCAATTATATTTTCTAATGGCTGTAAATTTACTTCGGTTTGGGGGTAAAGGACATTATATTTTTTTCATTTACAGTTATTCTCCCTTTATAAAATATTAAATCACTAATAGCATGGATAAGACTACTTCCTTCTATATTTTTGCATATGTTTTATGGAAATACTCTGATATTTTCAGAGTTGCTATGTGCAAAGGAATGTTAAATAGAGTGGAAACAAGGACATAAAGGAAACATCACAGTCATTTACATTCCTGAGATGTCAGCCCTTAATTCCTTTGTTAAACTTTGAGAGCTTGTCAGCATGGTGGTTTCCTAACAGCCTTGGACAATGTCCCCAGAGGGCCATTCACTTATCTGGATTGTAGACACTTCTATCCACACAGCTGCACACAAGATTTGAATAAGGAATCTCCACTCTCCAAAGTTACTTGTGTTTTTTTCCCCCAAGGGGAGATTTTCCACACACCTTGTTTAGCTCTACGGTAGTGAGTCAAGGATATGGGAGGTTGCCATGCAGACGTTCCCTGAGGGACATCCTTGCTAGGAGATCAAAGGCCTTATTGTGGCAATATGGTCAATGGCTTGGAAGCAGACATACTTCATGGTTTCTCATATGAGTTGTCTGAGTTAAACTTGTTTTGTTTTTTTGCTGGAGTGTGTATACAAAATATAGAAAAGCTTGCACTCAAAACATACATGGATACATCTGATGGAATACAAAATAATCACAAATTTAACTTAGATCCCCGGGCACATTAATTTAACAAGTAACTTAATTTGTTCATGTTTTGCGAGTGCTTTTGCATCATATTAACCTGACCTTGCATCACCTAGCCAGCCATCAGTGCACAGGAGTTTTCAATCAGCTACAGGGTGCACAATAACAAAACTGTTTACCTCTCCACCTCCATATATGTCATCAGGATAGGGTTACAGATTCCAATTTTGCTTGGGCTATGTTGTGAAAAGTTTCTTTTCCAAAGTAGGAGAAAAGAAACAGATCTGCTTTTTTTATAATCTGAAAATAAGCCAGGGTGGATAAAAATAGTTAATGTCAGGTGTGATAAAGCTTTCAAGACAAAACCTGTCAAGCAAAAGACATTGTGAATTCCCTGCAGATTTTTTGAAGTCTTGTACATACAGGAAATTAGTTAACAGGAAGAAGTTGGGAGTTGCTACATGGGAGAGTTCTTCCAAATTGCAAAAATTGGCTAAATCGATTGTTCAGTATAAACCCCTCACTGATCATTGTTGTCAGCAGTGCTGTTGATCTTTTCTTTTTTATCCTGAGCCTTGTTTCCCTTCTTTTTTTTCTTTTTTTTCTTGGTCTCTTCCTTCTTGCCAAAAGTTATAAAGTCACTTTTATCAGTTTGGCTATTTGGTGGATCTTGACGAATGGAGATGATGGCAGGAGATCCTGGGATAATGAACTTGTCTGGCAACTCACTTGGGCCTGGCTGCTTGGAATTGCCGGGCCCATATTTGAAAGTCCAGCTGTTGCTGTTCACGCCAGCTCCCACTGGAGGGGATACTTCACCAGCTTCAGGTTCTAGGGGAATAAAATTAAATAAAGCATTAAAATATTATTCAGCTAGAAATACATGCAGGTAAATTGCACTAGTGTGTTCTAAGAATTATTTCAAATAAGGGTCAAAATGATGCTACAGGTACATATCAAGTTTCCACAGGTGAGATTTCTCTTCTCTAATAAAAAGAAATCACATTTTCTTAATGCTTTTTTCAAAAATCTGGAAATTAATAAATGCTCTGTCTTCTATATTGGTAAACGCAATCAGAATGTCAAGTATAAGCTAGGTGGTATTGACCTAGCAGATGATCCTCACTTTGATAAGGACCTAGGTGTGTTTATCTCTGACTATCTATGCTCCAAAGTTCACTGTAACAGCATTGCTAAAAATGTATTAAGAGTTGTAAACTTAATTCTACGATGTTTCTTTTCTGGCAACATTGTATTGCTAACTAGAGCTTATAAAACTTACATTAGACCAATCATAGAGTACTGTTCAACTGTCTGGAATCCCTACCATATATCTGATATTATTAGTACAATCGAGAGAGTACAAAGGTATTTTATGAGAAAAGTTTTGCACTCTTCTGCACATAATAGAATTCCCTATACTACTAGGCTTGAAATTCTTGGTTCGGATAACATGGAACTGTATCACTTGCGGTCAGACTTAGGCATTGCATAAAAATTGTACGTAGCAATGTTTTACCTGTAAATGACATTTTTTGTTTTAATCACAATAATACGCACACGAATAACCATTATCAACTCAATGTAAACCGATCTAAACTTGACTGTAAAAAATATGATTTTTGTTTTCACAGTCTGGAATGCTCTACCTGAAACAGTTGTCTCAGCTACAAATTTTCACAGTTTTAGTCACAAATTGGTTTCCATGGATTTTACTTAAGAGGTTCGTAAAGGGGGCATGCATATGTGCATAAATCTGCCTATCGTCCCTGTTGGGTTTTTAAAATATTATTTTCTGTTTTTGTTTCTGTTTGACAAATTATAATAAAAAAAGTAAATCTACAACTTGAATTGCCAAATTACAATTAAGAATTATATTTATTTCATATTTATATTGATTTTATATTGAAAAAAGCCTACCTCATGCATCTATCAAACTGGATTCTAGCCCACAAAAACTTGTGTCCAGTAGGTTGAATATTACGACACATTAAAACTACCTTACAAAGATCAAAGCTGTTTTATTTGAATTATTAAGAGTCGCAGTGGCGTAGTGGATAGAGTGCAGTACTGCAGGCTACTTCTGCTGACTGCCAGCTGCTTGCAATTTGGCAGTTCAAATCTCACCAGGCTCAAGGTTGATTCAACCTTCCATACTTCTGAGGTGGGTAAAATGAGGACCCAAATTGTTGGGGGCAATATGCTGACTATGTAAAATGCTTAGAAAGTACTGTAAAGCACTATGAAGCGGTATATACATCTAAGTGCTATTGCTATTGTTATTACCACATTTTCCTGAAAATATGACCTACCCCACAATAAGTCTTAGCTTGATTTTTACATGTGCACCCAATATAAGTCCTACCTCCAAAATAAGCCCTAATTAAGACCCCCACCCACTCCAGAGTGCACGGGTAAAAATTAAGCTAGGGTAGGGATTGGGTGGTGGTGGAGCTGCCCTACTACTTATCTTTGGACAGTTGCAGGCAGGCCTCACACACCCAAACACCTTCCTTGCCAGACCATTTTTTCTATAGCCAGCAAGGCTTTCCTGAAGGCCTCTGCAACCAATAACAGATCGATCCAGAGCTCTGTTATTGGCTGCAGAGGCTTTTAGGTTGAATTTGTACATCTTGAACCAACACATGATAGATAGTCAGAATCTGCAAATATGAACTCAGGAAATCAAAGGCTCAGAATGAACAAAGACTTGCAACAAAAGTCAAAGATAACAAAAAAAGTTTCTTCCATCATATAAATAGCAAGAAAAAAAAATCAAGGAAACGGTCCACTAAAGAGAGAAGACGGTAAGGAAATAACAAGCAGCAGAGAGAAAGCAGAGCTGCTTAACTCACTCTTCACATCTGTCTTCATGCAAAAAGAAACTATAGCCTACCAAAAACATAACGGTAAAAAACATTCTAGAAATAAAAGTTAAAATAAGCAAAACGAATAGTAAGAGAACACCTGTCTGATCTTGATGAATACAAATCACTGGGACATGACAGATTACATCCCAGAATTCTAAAGGAGCTGGCAGATATCATTTCAGAACCACTGTACTACATCTTTCAAAATTCCTGGAGCACCAGAGAACTATTAGAGGACTGGAAAGGAGCTGATGTGGTTCTCATTTTCAAAAAAAGCGGGGGGGGGGGGGGGGGGAAACAGACCCAGGAATCTACAGACCAATCAGCCTAACATCAATACCTGGGAAGACATTGGGCAAGATAATTAAAAAAAAACATAACTGCCAACATCCAGAAATGAGTAAAGTAATAACTAGCAGTCAGCACAGGTTTGTTAAAAACAGATCATGCCAAGCCAATCTTATTTCATTCTTCTAAATTAGTAGACCAGCGAAATACTGTGGACATAATATACTTAGACTTCAGCAAGGCATTCAAGAAAGTAGACCACAACCTACTTCTTGGTAAACGAGAAAAAAGTGGGATAGATAGCATCACTATCACATGGCTGGCTGACAAACCGTACTCAACGAGTAGTCCTTAATGGATCTATGTCTACATGGAGGGAAGTAAGCAATGGGATACTACAAGGTTCTGTCTTAGGCCCAGTACTCTTCAGTATCTTCATAAATGATTTAGATGATGGAATAGAAGGGGAACTTACCAAATTTGCGGATGACACTAAGCTGGCAGGAATAGCTAACACTCTAGAAGATAGGCTCAAGATCCAGATGGATCTTTACAGACTTGAGCATTGGGCCATATGCAATGGTGAGATTCAACCAGTTTGCACCTATTTGTGAGAACCGGTTGTTAACTTTCTAAGCAGTTTGGAGAACCAGATATTGGAAGAAATTTCATGTTTTTTTCCACTTATAGGACTAATCCTGTAAGGAAGGCGGGAAGGAAACATTCTGGTGTTGTTTCTAGCCTAATCTTTATTGCCTTGATTACAGAAACTGCCTTTCAATTAACCCTTATAACAGCTAAAGGTTCTTGGCAGTACACCCAGACTTACTGTCACTTGAGCTCAAGGGTTTCTTTTTTTCTTTGCTGGTACTTTGCTGGGGATTGACTTTCTTAAAGGGGAAGGGTTGTTTTAAGCTTTTTACACTTCTGTTGGGAGGAAATATTCCTCTGTTGGAGTTCTTCCAGCTGGGATGCAACGATCAGTACTTTGAAGAAATAATTGAATAACGCAGTAGAGCTAAGTAAGCTTTTAATGACAAGGGACCAAGATGAGTGACATTCAGCAAGGCTTCTTGGCTAGCTAGAAAGATTGACATTCAAATGTTACATACCCTTTCTGAGTTTTGGTCTAAAACTGGGGGTGGGATCCTACCGGCATAACAACCAGTTCGCAGCACACGCATGCACACTACTTACAAATTACCGAGTCTGGCAAGCATTCACCTGCTCCAGCTGACAAGCGGCACTCAGATGTGCTGCGCAAAGCAGCTGAGGAGGAAAAAGCAGAAAATAAAGGACAGCCTAGAGCCTGGGCAGGTGGGGGGGGCGCAAACAGACGACCAGGAGATCATCGCAGTGAACCGGTTCGGTGTCAGCTGCTCTTCGGAGCTACTGATTCTATAGAACTGGCCCGAACCGATAGAATCCCACCCCTCTCTAAAACTGGTTTTTGGTAAAGTTTAATCCTGTGCTTGGTCACATTTAAATCCTGTGTTTATTGATGGGATAATTTTCCTTATTCAGCTTTGTTTGGAAGGAAAAATGTTAAACTCTGTTCCTGAAAAGGGTTTTCCTTCACTGTTTTACTAGTTCCTAGCACTGTCCTTTTGGGATGTACTTCCAAGAGGCAGGATGCAAGCTTGGCACTGATTTTTTTATTGCCTTTCTGGGCGGGGCATATGATCTTTCCTTAAACCTGGATGATTTCCTTAGGATATCTTGTGAGGTGAGTGAGACCAGCTGGTATATTTAAGTGATGCAAATGGATCTCAGGATTGCTTCTCCTGGGTGTGCTTTTTATGGAGAGCTTAAATGACCTCTCTGCTAAACGGTTTCAAGAGCAAGAGTTGGCTGCTGATAGTTATCATTGTATGTTAACTATTTTAATTCCTCAAGTGCTCTGGCACCCTGCCTGGTTTGTAACTCCAGCCTGCAGGTATTGCTTATGAAAAGGAAGGTATTCAGACATAATGGTTTAGGTTTCCATGGTGGCTGCGGCTATCATTGATCTTCAGTGTGTATTCTCCCATTTCCAATCTAATGATTGGTATTTAGGGCAGCTTTTTGCAAGCAACGAAGCTTTTTATATTTTTGTACAGGTAATCCCTGACTTACAACAGTTCATTTAGTGACCATTCAAAGTTACAATAGCACTGAAGTGATTTATGACTGTTTTTCACACTTACGACCATTGCAGCATCCCCATGGTCATGAGAGTCCAGGAGAGGTGAAGCATTCCTCGATGTAAGTGACATAGAGTTGGTCACGCCCACCCAATCACATGACCGCTCAGCCATGCCTACCCAGCTGATCATTAGGGCAGAGAACTGGTTGTTAAATTATTCGAATCCCACCACTATCCCCTACCTAACAAAGTGGAATTCAATGTAGAGAAAAGTAAAGTCTTGCACTTAGGCAAGAAAAACCAAAAGTGCACATATAGACTGGATGATACCAAGCTTAATAGCAGTAACTGTGAGAGGGATCTTGGAATCTTAGTGGACAACCAGCTAAATATGAGCTAATAATGTGCAGCGGCAGCCAAAAAAGCCAATGCAATCCTAAATTGCATTAATAGAGAGATACAATCAAGATCAAATGAAGTACTAATACCACTCTATAAAGCCTTAGTAAGACCACACCTAGAATATTGCATCTAGTTTTGGATAAAAG